TAAACATTCTTCGAAACATTTGGGATAATGTAAGTACACAAGTCAGCAAAATATATAACACTGTTCTAGTGGTTTTTGGATATTTTAATAAAAAAATCTTACATAATGTGCCTTTAATAATAGACATAATGAGTGCTATTATTGTTGCTACTATAGTTTTCACTGAAGTGCAACCTGTACATTTTAACATCTCAAAAAATGTTTTAGGGTTTCATGACCCTTTAAAAAAAATGTTTGACCCTCTAACATTAACATTCTCTATTCTTTTTCTATTCTATCTACTTGTTTTCTTTTTATTTATTATAAAATTGACCCTCTAACACTAGTGTTCTCTATTTGGTTGATTCTATCTACTTAATAAAAAAAATAAAAAAAATAAAACCTTGCTACGTGTACTGCGTTAGACTAACCAAGACTTGTCATAGCGTTTAGTATATATTATTGTTCTTTTGTTGGTTTTGATTTCTTCTATTGTCCTCATTTGTAAGTCGCTTTGGACTGTGACCTGTGACCATTCCCCATCAAGGCAATCTCCATTTCTTTTATTCTGTAACATTTTAGTCCAAAGATGACGAGGAGAAGCGAACAAGATCAAATCTAAGTCTATTTTATTAAAGAAAGCTCAGGTAATTCAATAGATAGAAACCACAACGTGACCACGTGCACTACACACAAACAAAACCAGACATAGAACAGAAGGAAACGGGGAACTTAAATACACAACGATAATGAACTCAAAGTCTAATAAGTGTGGTCATTAAATGAATAACAGGTAATTAAGAGAAACAAACTAAAAGTCCATGAAAACAGGATGAAAGTGACACCTGATTTTACCGATATGTATAAAACAGATTTTGTTGATGAATTGTCATTTGCTTTTGAACGTCTAGTGAAACTTTCAATGTCACAAAATAGTACTTAAAACAACTATTTAATATGTTAATAAAGGTGTGATTTTTGTTCAGACTGTATTATTTGGTGTGTTAGATGAGGGATGGATCTAACAGACCTAATAACTCCATCTATAATCAAACACCAACATCAAATAATGGATAATAATGTTAGTGTACTGTATGTTTATATGCTCTGTGAACATGATAGCTTTAAAGTGATTCGCTCTGAAAGTGATTGGAATTATTTTGGTGTACTATTCTCTTTGAGTAGGTGATTATTAAACTACAGATTTCGCCCTGCATTTGAAGAGTTTTGTTGTTTAGAGCAATCACACCTTTTACTAGTCTCCATCAACTAGAAACTACAGAACACGGTGTAGCGTCTGGACCAATCAGACACACCATGAGGAACACGCTTCTACCCAGGGCTGACGACCACCTACTGCACCAGAGCTGTAAAGCAATTGGACACTGAGGGAAGAGTACTACTGACTAATGACTCAAGCGAGAGTTATGGCTACAAAAAGCTCACCAAATATCTACAGCGGATCTAAATATTTATAATTAATTATAACTAGTTATGATTAATTATTCATATTTCCCTTATGAGCTGATTCGCTACAGCGGTAAGTGACAAGCCACAGTATTTCAATTCACATGTCATAGAAAATTCAATTTCAGTTCATAAGTCATAGAAAATTCAATTTCAATTCACGTCATAGAAAATTCAATTTCAATTCATAAGTCATAGAAAATTCAATTTCAATTCATAAGTCATAGAAAATTTAATTTCAATTCACGTCATAGAAAATTCAATTTCAATTCATATGTCATCATTTCAGTTCATATGTCATGAAGCCAGGAGCAAGTAGTCCGTTGTAAATGTAATTTTAAATATATTTTTATTGTCTTATCCTCTCAATAATGCTATCTTTAGAATATGAATGCAAATTATATAACCATAATTAAAATATCCCAATTGTGTGCATGTCAACATCTTGTAAAATCAATCTCTGTTCTGCCACGTTTTTATACTATTTTATAGACAGTTTTGTGCAAAATGGATACCTTTTGAAACTCCTGATTTTCTTTTCAAACTAAATGACAAACTCAAAGAATGTGACAAACATTTCAATGAAATATTTGTATGAACTCACATGTGTGAAGAATGCCATCCTGGAAAAGTGCTGTATTTGGCATACAGTGGGTCCTTCTCTCCACAAGTCAAGAAATCCATCTTGTAATCCTTAAACCGGTCATAAACACTTATTGCTTTTGTTTTAGTAGCAGTGAAGTATCATAGCAGAATTAATTATTTCATACAGTATTTTTTTTACATTAACTTTACCTCCAGGTGAAAGCATCTGAAAATTCAATAGGCAAAACTCAGTAAAACCATTACTGCACTGTTGATATTAGTCATGAAAATGATAGACACAATGCAAGCTTACCATGAACTGAACAGCTCAGTGGAGGCAGAGAGCTTTAAGTGAAGTGTGGCTGTGTTTTTGAAGAGAGGCGTGGCCATTGCAAGACTCCGCCCATCAGTCTGACTGCTCAACATCACATACAACAATTTAATTAATAGTTCTGCACTGAATCCTGCTGAGAATGTTGCCTATATGTAAACAGCCTCCACCGCAGACAGTATGCACTGTATGTCACACACACACACACACACACATACACACACACACACACAC